TATCGATATCAACCCTACCACTCGACCTCTCATATGCTAATCTACTACAGACTCCTTCTGCTTTGATCGTGATTATGACGATGATGTTATAGAGTGTATACTATCCTTGATAGCCCCAGATGTAATGCCACGAGTAGATTGTTGTCTATAGTAGAGGAGCAATGTTCCCATTGTCGTATATACAACCGAGCAATGGTGGTAAAGTTATCTATCACTACTAACTCTATAAGTAACACAATACATCTTCTACTACCCATCTAGATTGTAAAAAGGAGGAGGTCAGACTCGGGAATTTACACTCAGAGAGCTTAGCTGCAAGATGTGTACTTCTAGCTGTAGCCCTTCTGTAGTGTGACGAACGACTATATCACCATAACCACTTGAGAGATTATCATCATACAACTTGTGTCTTGCCGCCGTCGTGGCCGATGGAGATATGTTACGGTATTCATACAGGAGGTAGTAGTACCCTGTAGCTGTTGTTGTTCTCAGGCCCCAACCTCACCACAGTTCTATGATGATCCTGTTTGTTGTGGATCCTCTATGATAACTAAACACAGAAGAAGTTGCATGCCATCTAAGCTGAAATATGGTCAAGTCTGTGATGATGCTGTGAATGTCCTCCTCCACATCATCAGTTCTCTAATATGCTCAAGAGTAGCTGGGAATACCTCGTGGGATGAATGATTATATATAAACAAGACGATTAGAGTTGACTGCAAGACTGGGAAGAGTATGAAGTCTAAGGTATGATCATCATCACCACCTTCAACTTAACAAAATAAGATGATGTTGCGAATCGGACTATACCACTCCCTTGTAAGAAGATTCGATTCAAGTCCATAGGGGCTCCACATGAGTCCACTAGCGTATGTCCAACAGCAATACCAAACCTTACCCAACAACGATATGCATCATATGTACAAGGGAGGGATAGGACGACAGTTTGACCAGAGTACGATAAGTTTGCTGCTGTAATGACTCTGTCATGATTATCTAACACTTCAAAACGGATATAGAGGCCGTCAGATATGGAGGAACTGTCAGGAGGAGGATGCTTTTGAAGCAAAGTCACATTTAAAAGTGGTGGTGTTGGTGGTAGACTACTAGTCATCTCGTCCTCTCTTACTCTTATCCCACTTGAAGGCTGCTCCTCCGATGATCGTCGTACCATTAGAGCAGTTGTAATGATCTCATTATGTACCCGTGTGAGCTCATCTATAAGTTGACTAAGGAGGTAAACAACTTGTACCGTACTACGGGTCTTGTAGTGCATCCTTGTATTGGAATATACTGGAACTATCCTCGAGTCCATGGTCACTTTATGAACTAGTTTATATGAATCATGTCTTCGAGTAACACATGATTCTTCTTCCATAGTGTGATTAAGGATAGTAATATAACCCCAAGGGGGTACCTCAACACAGTACTCCTCCTCATACCCTACCACTTTGACTTTCCCTTTACCTAACACTCTCATCGAGTCATATGCCACTATCTCCAGTGTAACCCAGTAGTACGGTAGTAGTACATCATCTAAGTGTAATATCTGATCCCAATGGTAATAGCCATCAATACCCGATTGGGTAACAGGAGTTGTAGTGACCGAGGTATACTCATCTCGACTAAGCCGTACTGCTACTAAAGGATGATATGATGATATATGGTCTTGTAGATGCCGCCTACCTTGGCCTATGAGAAGTGATACGACCATATGCAGCTGTGGCGGCAGTCGGGCAGTGGGGAGGGGAGTCCATCTTGCTATTCTTGTAGATCTTGCATTTCCTCAATATTTCATTACTTTTCTAACATCGTCTTCTTCGCAGTAGAGGAGGATGTCTAATCTATTAGTTCGATCGTTAAAGCACGTGAAGCGACCCCCTACGAACCATTCAAGTAAGTGTGATACCCTGCTCTGTAACGACTGGTCTATGTTGCCCTCCGACCTCATCTTAACAACATCCTCAGGGACTGTGCTGGGTTTTGCTTCTGCTGCAGCTGGTGTTGCTGGTAGTAATGCTCATATGGCAGAGGTATCCCAGCCAGGTCATGAAGGGAAGATATCTCAGGTAGGTGGTTACTATTACTACTATCTCCTATAACCTTCCTCAGGTTATCGGTGCTGTTGTTGATGTCCACTTCGCATCTGGTAGATTGCCACCTGTATTGAATTCTCTTGAGGTCCAAGGTTTTGAGCATAGACTGGTCCTTGAGGTTGCTCAACATCTTGGAGAGAATACGGTTAATATGTTTGTTACTGTTAGATGCTCTTTACAATGCCTTAATAGGTCCGTACTATTGCTATGGATGGTACAGATGGCCTCATACGTGGTCAAAAGGTGGTGGATACTGGTGCTCCTATATCAGTCCCTGTTGGTCAAGGGACACTTGGACGTAAATGACTACTCCATAGGTGTTCCTTTTTGTATGTATGCTTTTAGGTATTATGAATGTGATAGGTGAACCTATCGATGAATTGGGTCCTATTGAGTGCAATACCAGGTAATACTCTATGCGTAGTAGTGCATATGATGGTAGATATCTCTTATTCTTGTTATTGCAGATGGCCTATTCATAGACCAGCTCCTACGTTCTCTGAGATGGATACTGTTGCTAGACAGTTGTATACAGGTATTAAGGTAATTCAACTTAGTAGTATGAGGCTAATCATACTTCATCTTTCATCATAGGTTGTAGACCTGTTAGCACCATACACCAAGGGTGGTAAGATGGGTCTCTTTGGTGGTGCTGGTGTTGG